CAATGGTATACGGTCAAGACTCCTCTCTTGCATGCATTCCTTTTCCACCGTATCGTCATCGATGAATTCACTTATGCCGGTAGTGAGCGACTCGCGCCCCTTCTAGCCCTGCGAGCTCGTTCAAAGTGGGTGCTCTCAGGTACACCACCGTTGAACGACTTTGCCGATGTCAAGACCATCGCACCCTTCTTGGAAATCCATTTGGGAGTCGATGACGAGAATACTTCATCCCAGAACCATCGTCTGAAGGTCCTGCGCAAAAACCGCTCAGACGCAGAAGTTTTTCAGTCCTGGCGGGCTCCTCACAGCGAGGCATGGCATCGCAACCGCCATGAGGTTGCTCAAAGGTTTCTAAATCAGTTCGCACGTCGGAATATTGCAGATATTGACGAGATCCCTTGTTCGGAACATCTTATCCTGATTGATCAGTCCCCAGCTGAGTGTGCAATCTACCTCGAGCTGTACAAGCAGCTAATGACGCACAAAAAGCAGCTTCGTCGGAGCAGGCGCGGACGGTTCAAAAATGATCAGAATGAACGACTGGATGAAATTATCAGCAGCAGTATGTCACCAGAAGAAGCTCTGCTCAAGCGCTGCTGCTCATTGACGCTGAAAGGGCGCTGGGAGGAGGGGAAACCAGAAGCCGTCACCTGCAGTTCTTTGATTGCAACTCGGGAGGAGCAACTGGCTAATCTTCAAGCCGAATTTTCGAGTAAGATGAGATTGGCCGCCTGGCTCTATTTCAGTTGGGATCTGAAATATGAGAAATTTCACAAATTCGCCGAAGGCATCCTCATACATCAATTTGGTGACGAGGCAGTGACTACTGCAGCCTTTCTGCTTTTCAAGTCTGCTATGTGCGCATCGCATCCGGACGACTGGAAGCTCTTCTTCACCGAAAAGGGATCCAGCCCGAAGAAAGAGAACAGCCCAGAGGAAGCCGAAACCTGGACGACCGTCTCGCAGGAAAATACAGGAAGCGTTGAGAGCGACAAGATGGCAGAAGTGGACAGCCAACGACAGGGTTCCCCCAAGGAAGCAGAACGTGTGGCCGGCAAGGGAGCCCAGAAACGCCAGGCAAAGAAGACGAAGCGTGCTGAGGTTAAGAAAGAGCAATGCAGCCAGCTTCCGATCAAGCCGACGAAACTCGACCACTTCGAGCTCTGCATGGATGAAATTACATCCATCTTGCGGAACATAATGTCCGAGTGGGTTCTGCGTGAAAGGGCTCTGAGGTTTCTCAGAACCGTGCGGATGCTGCAAACTAACAGGGAAGCACCTGAGTGCCACTGCTGCAGAGAAGAAGTACAGTCGCGCAGCCACCTGAATGTCGTTGGATCCTGCGGTCATGCACTGTGTAAGGACTGCGCTGAGAAGACTGTTCGGTTTGAAGAATGCATCATCGACAACTGCCGTGGCTCAGGTACAAAATTCAACATGATCAGCGCTGCATCGCTTGGTTTCGAAGGAGACCGAAGCACTCAGTATGGAGGAAGGAAGATGGACAGATTGGTCGAGATTGTCAAAGGAATTCCCAACCAGGAGCGAGCGATCCTTTTCATCCAGTTCCGTGAACTCATTGATGTTGCGTCCAAAGCATTTGATTTGGCAAATATCACTCACACAGTGATAACTGCGCGCGACACCAAGAAGATTGAAGAATTCAAAAGGGGTAATGGAAAGGTCGTGATACTGAATCTGGGTAGCGAGACGGCTGCCGGATTGTGAGTGACCTTCCCCTGTCTCTTCCTTTCCCTTCTTTCTCATCTAATATTTATCACAGAAACCTGCAGTGCACAAATCACGTCATCTTCCTCTCGCCCATGCTCGCAGAGACGCAGTACGATTATGATTCCTCGATGACACAGGCAATTGGTCGTGCGCTTCGCTACGGTCAGACGAGACGCGTCCACGTCTACCATCTGCTCATGAAGAGAACAATTGACATCAACATTTTCCAGGAGCGACGTAGGAAGATCCTGGTTGAGCGAAATGGTCAGGCTGTTTTGGTAAACGCCGATGAATGTCTTGCTGGAGAAGCGTTAAGCTGCCAGGGACCTACCTTGGTTGTGGATAACTTCTTGTGAGAACGACTCGTGGAGCTTGTGATTCGTCTGCTTGACGGCCCTGCTTTTTTGTACGATTAAGCGTCATGCCAGTGATGAGAAAATGTAGGATTAGACAGTTCCCAAAGTTCAATGTGATATTATTCTCTGAATTCAAGGAGAAACCGACCCCTACTGTGTAGTAGGGGTCGGTTGATTAAGGTGGTAAGGTGGGAGAGAATTGAGAGAGGGTTTACTAGAGATATTCCTTCCACTCTGGGTAAACACTGACCAACCATAAACATACCTACTAAGGTAACCTGGTCATACCGCAGCCCTCATCAGCAGCCTCAGCAGGTCGATATTTGCTAGTGTATCGAGTGCTTACTGGATTCTTAAAACGGAGAGGTAATCAAGAATCTGGACAAACAGGACTAGAAATGGAGCTCCGTTGGGATTGTTTAGCAAACCTCTATGGTAGATGATCTTCCATCATGTCTGTCTACCTCCAGGCAAAGGAACTTCAGACTAACGTACTGTACATGGTAGATATCTAGAAATCATGCAGTGTCAACGCCTCACATCTTTCTCGTGGATGAGACTGCGAAGATGCCACTGGAAAGGAAAAGGAAACCAAGCTGAAACAGAAAACTTTGAATTGTTAAACCGAGGGATTATAATACGGAACATGATTAAGCCTGCTGATCCAAGGCACCGTCCTTCCGCATCATTGTCTCGGGGTCCCACACAGGATTTTGCAGGTTCGTGAGCCCGGCACTGTTCTCGCAGGTGTGTCTTCCGCTCAGAGGGCCTGGCGCAGGCACCTTGACTTCCTTGCCGCTCTCCGCGGCTGTAGCGGACTCCTTCAAGGCTGTGAGAAGGGTCTTGATGGACTCGGGCGTGAGATCTTCGTAGTAGTCGTCGTTGATCTGGACCATGGGGGCATTAACACAGGCGCCCAGGCACTCGACCTCGATGAAGGTGAAAAGGCCGTCTTCTGTTGTGTGTCCGGCAGTGATGCCCAGGTGCTCCTGGATAGCTTCGAGGATCTTGGTGCTACCGCAGCCGCCGAGCTGGCAGGGTGTCTAATCAACCGTTTGCGTTAGCGCAGCCATCCAAAGCTACCAATTTCCTCGTGATAAAAGACGGCGGTATTCATACCGTGGTGCAAAGCTGAACAAAGTACTTTCCAACCGGCTCACGGTTGTACATGGTGTAGAAGGTAGCGACTTCGTAAACTCGCATTGGGGGCATCTCAAGGATACGGGCGACCTCGTTCATGACGCTAATGCTGGTATAGCCGTGCTGGCGCTGTCCCAAGTCCAGGAGGGGCATAACGGCACCCTTCTTGTACTGGGGAGGGTAGCGTTTGAGGATCTCATCGACGAGTTTCATATTCTGCTCGGAGAACTTGAAAGGGATAGAGGGGTTGTTGTTAGGCTTGTTGCGATGCTAGAACTCCGAGCAGTACCAGTCAGCCACTGTCTTATGCACATTCCCATGACGAAGGATATCCGAATATGCCGCAATAGCTGATACTCTTCATACGTACCACGGCAAGTGTATCGCTGTAACGTTGCGGGCCAGCCGAGAACGGTCTGCATTGGGGCTTGGGAATCTGGTGGAACAATTGGCGGCCAACCCGCGGGATAGCGGGGAAGAACTTGGAAGCCATTGCTGGCAATGGAGAGGAATAAGAGGGGGATCGAAAGAGAGAACGACGGATTGCGGCTGTTGCGATGATGGCCGGAGTTGCAGATGAATTCAATGGAGTCGACGAGGCGTTTTGCGGGTGTTGCGATCAGCCAATCAGCGCTAAGAGATTACTCCACTGAACGACTTGAGGATTGAGCGCAGCATCAACTGTGCGACGTTGAATTGTTCTCAGAGATGAGATAGATATTATCTGGATATTTTCAAATATTGAGCAACGCTCATAAATGACCTTCAGCACTAACTGCTCGCCAATGATGATTTCTCCACACATAATCAACTATAAACAGGTACAAACGCTATCATGAATCATAACCAGCAACCACCACAGGCTCCAGAAGCATAATCCCAACGAGATATCAAACATTCTCCATCTTATAAACCTCATATGCCACCTCCTCATACGGATGCGCCTTCTTCAACGCCTCAACCGCCTGCAGCATAACCGATCGTCCCAGACACATAATCTCCACCTTCATTTCCTCGACAGTCTCCAACTGTCCAACCGCTCCAATGGCAGGATTCGCATCCCCACAAGGCAGAAACTGTCCTTGCCCGGGCATCTGGAACGCGCACTTGCTGTACTTGCCTCCGGGGAAGGTACCGGCCCCGGTAGCGAAGATGGCCTCTTTGCACTGTTCGAGGTGCGAGTGTGGCACGAAGAAGATGAGCTTGTAGCGGTCGGGGATTGTCGTAGACATTGTTCTCTTATAGGAACGAAATGGGAGTCTGGCTGCTGTTTGGGTGGTGGGGAGAGTGGTGGGATGACAAGCTGTAGAAAGCGGGGATGTTGAGACGAGCAGTAGAGGTTGAACAGAGCGGACAGACTGGAAGAGCGTCTTGCTGGCTGCTTGTCTGGCCAAGTTGACTGCTTTCAAGCTCATCGGCTACTGCAGTGAGGAGTTGTGTAGCGAGAGTGGTAGATGGCTGCTGCTGATGATGATATTGCCAGTCACTACGGAGTATACTTAGCAGCATTGTTGTTTGCTACTTAGGAATCGATGACATCAGGTGACAGCTGAGGGCGTGGTTAACAACATCGAATAAACGTTTCACTGAATAGACCCATTATTTTGATATCTTAAGCTTGGCCTCGGGTATAGCATGAGCACCTCGCATTCTACTGTATCAATTGAAAACAAACGGGCCGAAATTTATCTATATGCTCCCCTCCCGATATATACATATGCACACTCAAGCATCTCAACATCAACAAGTCATAGATCATCTTCTCATAAAGCATCAAGCAACGACAGTATGCTTCTGTACATGATCATGAATGCGCTTAAGTAGCTCAGCTTTCCTCGCTTCATCAATCCAGCTCTCATTGACACTATTCTCAGCAATGACCCTCCACTCCGGGATGGAAAGCTGAAACGCCTCCTGAACAGCGCAGTAGTTATCGAGAATATAGCCTCCAAAGTAAGCCGGATCATCACTATTGATCGAGAACTTGACACCGGCGTCCAGGAACTTCCGAATGGGCACTTGTTCCACCGACTGAACGCACCGAAGTCGCACGTTCGACAACGGACAGACGGTCAGCATAATTCCTTCGCGAGCCACCCTCGCCATCAGCTCCGGATCCTCGACCAGCCGAATCCCATGGTCGATACGCTGGGCCCCAAGCTCCAAGGCGGTACTGATATACGTCGGATCGCCCTCCTCGCCCGCATGCGCCGTTAAGCGGATACCCATATCCGACGCGGAAGCGTAAATCTCGCGGAACATGTCCTTCGGCGGCCCAACCTCGGACGATGACCAGCCGAGACCATGCACAACCCCACTCTCGAAATGGTTGCTGGCGAGCGCCAACTCATACAGCTTGGTCGCGGAATCGACCGGCAAATGACGCACAAAGCACAGAATCAACCGGGTTGACAGACCTAGTTCCCTTTCTGCTCGCTTGCACCCAGCCGTGAAGCCGGAGACGACGGTCTCGTAGTCAATGCCGCGGGCCTGGTGGACCTGCGGGTCGAAGAAGACCTCGGCGTGGTGTACGCCGTCCGCGTGTGCTTTCTGGAAATACGCCCAGGCGAGATCCTCAAAATCGGACTCGTGGTGCAGCACGGACATGCCATGGAAGTAGAAGTCGAGGAAGTCGTTTAGCGATGTGAACTCACCGTAGCGGGCTCTGAGCGCTTCGACTGAGGCGTAGGCTGGGTGGGTTGCTGGGTTTGGTAGTTGTATATTGTTTCTCTCTGCTAGTTGGAAAATCAATTCAGGTGTGACGCAGCCTTCCAGGTGGACATGATGCTCGCACTTGGGCAGGCCATGCAGGAAATCGTGCAGTGGTGATTGACACATTGTTTGATACCGGGTATCTGAAGTAAGAAAAGCGAGAACAATGCGTAAAGGAGAGGAACTCGGACTGCTCGAAAAGGTGACGGGACCTGAGATGGTATTCCTCCAAGTCAATTTAAGAATACTCAGTAACAACGGGTCGTGGGTCAAATCTGGTCAAATGATTGATGGACAGCCGTCGGGCTTTCCGAACAAGTGAAGCGGCCGTATTGACTCATTGAGAACAACCGTTATCCTTCGATCTGCAAGAGACGTGACTGATAAGAAATTACTCTGCGAATATTAAAGTTCTATCAAGCAACGTGCAACCAGACAAGTGGAGCTGGACATTTCTTCGCTAGGGATCTCAAGAGGTTGTTCACTATCACGAGTCTCGGAGGTTGCCGACAGCGGAGGAATCGTCGGAGCAGGCCTTTGATCTTTCCATGGATCTATAAGGTAAGAAGCTACAACTTATCTGCCAAAAGAGATAAAGTCGATCAACATCTACAAGTACCTCTGTATATACATCCTTGCTCCTTAGCTCTTAAATCATGTAAATTCGTAAGTCCATTATATGTCACCAGTCAAACTCCAGATCCACATCTTGAAGAGAGTAAAATCCGAAACCAGGTACCACAGTCTATTTCCAATTATTATAGTTTTAGCACAGTCCCAGCAGCCTTCCTGAGCCGGTTCATCACGGCAGCCGCGAGGTCTCCCTGAGAATCCGAAACACCCTCCACGTAGATGACATCCACCTCCATTTCATCCATGGCTCGCAAGGCCGAGAAAAGCCCCCGCGCGATAGACTCGATGTTGTCTCCCAGGTGGCAGTCAAAGGCGGCCTTGGTGATCTCGCAATTGTTAATCTTGTCCTTCACAGGTACAGAGAAGCACACCAGGTCATCCACCAGGGACGGGATAGGTTTCAACGTCTTCTGGATGTCCTCCTCTGATACTAGACCCAAGCCTCGCTTCCATTGCCGGGTTCGTACGACACCAATCATATGTGCCCTAATCGCAGTATCTTCCAAGTCCTTGTACACATACTTCGCGATTGCCTCCTCGCTAGACCCGGCACAGAATAATACTACACGCGCCTTGGGCGAGTAGTGCCGGTATTTCATGCCAGGAGCCCGAGGGACCTCCTTGACGTCGAGAGTGCCGTCATGATAAGCGATCTGCACATTCTCCCATCCAGGAACCGTCCTTAGTTCCTCAATCCCGACTCCGCCTGGCCTCAGTATGGCCGGAGGGTTGCTCAGCCCGTCGACAACTGTACTCTCCACTCCTACCCCACAGGGGCCACCATCGAGTATCAGATCGATCCGCCCCTCAAGGTCATGATAAACGTGCTCAGCCGCAGTAGGAGAGGGTTTCGTAGACGCATTAGCCGAAGGAGCCGCGAGCGGCCGGTCCGCGACATGGATTAATAGGCGCGCCAGCGGTGACGCAGGCATACGCACACCAAACGTGGTCAAATTCGCGGTGACTTCGCCAGCGAGGAGCGACCCGGACGGGTTATGGAGGAGGATTGTGAGCGGACCAGGCCAGAAGCGCTCGATCAATGGCTGGTAGATGGCAGGGATAGTATTTCTCGCGGTTCTCATTGTGCGCGTGGGACTCGACGACGCCGGGTTGAGAAGTCGTTCTAGCATCTCTATGGAATCGATATGGACAATCAATGGGTTGTCTGACGGCCGCTGTTTAGCCTTGTAAATCCCCTGTACCGCAGCACTCCGTGTTGCATCAGCTCCCAGGCCATAGACCGTCTCTGTAGGAAACGCAACAGGTATATCGCTCGTTCGGAGAAGATGGGCAGCCTCTTCGATCGCCGAGGATTCGGGCGTCTTCTGGCTGCGTTCGCTTGCCCACCATTCTGCAAGTGATCGGGTCCCAGGGTCTTCTTTGTTTAGTCGTCGGACGGACAAAATTCGAGTCTCTCGTGGCGTCATGATTGCGGTAGTCGTGCTGAAGAAATGGGCCAAGCTGCGCCGACAGCCGCCTGCGACAAGGCGAGACGTGATGGACACCAGCTTGGACCGTCTGGTTGTGATAAACGGGGTCTCTAATCACCAGCAGACAGCGAGAAAATCAGAAATCTGCCCAAGGCGTCAAGAAGGTCCGAGCACCAAATTTATCAGAAGATCGAAGAATTGTAGACAGCCGCGGGGTGACTCAATGAAGAAAAGAAAATTGAGGGCCTAGTGGGGGCATAAGGCGCAAGTACCGCGCTTCGTTTATCTATGCGATGAGTATATTGTCGAGTGGCTTATCCTCGTGCCAATCCCTTTAAGGTATTATTGAAGCCTAAAATTGCACCTATGTACTGATTTTGGTATAGAATTGACGTCGTTGCCTGACGATCTCAAAACATGCTTCAAAATTTCTCTGGGGATGACGTCGATCCGCATGACTAAGCGAGTTAATGTGTAACTAACTAAGTTAACTATACAGGCTGATGATAAGAGTGGCTACCTTCGACTCCCTCCAGCCAGGTGACAAGGAGTCGTACTATTTTTGACATATGAGATCATTTTCCTCAATAATATTAAACACCAAAAGGAGATGGAATATTGATATATGTTCTAGAAACCTGTTGTAAGACGGAAATCGGCTATCTCGAACCAGTACTTCGACATGCGGATACTATAGCCACCCATCAGTAGTATACTCCTATATTCAAGACAGCCGGTCAAAGCTGACATTAGCTCTTAACTGCCATGTAGATATCTCAAGATCTATTTTTTCTTTCCACCTTTGCCTCCCTTGTTCCCACTGCTACCCCCTTTCCCTTTGCCCTTTGCGTCACTCCCAGTGGCCCCTCCTCCAGTCATGATCCGGACTTTGGGAACGGGCACAGTGTTAATGATCTCCGTGTCCTTCCATGCCTTGAAGAGCTCTCCTTCGCGTGCCCTTAGCTTCTCTGCGTCAGCTATGCTAATACCGGCTTCCTCAGCCTGCTCCTTTTTCACCTTTCCGGTGGTGGTTTCTGCCACCCACCGGCCAAGGATCTCTTTGACGGCCTTGCCTTTCTTTACCGTGCCCGGCTGTAACTTGACACGGTACTTGTAACGACCAAGCGCTGCCCATGGAGCGCAGATCGGAATGGCGGCAAGGATTTCATCTTCTGGGCGAGGCGTACCAATCAGGGCCGGAATCCAAGAAAGGTCTGCCGCCTCTGCAGCAGCAGTCTCTTCATTGTAATCATCAGTTGCACCCTCATCAAAAAGCGCTTGCCGTCTCCGCTCTGCTTCTGCAGCGCGCTCATGTTGCGCTTTCCGCCGCTTTTTTGCCGCCTCAGCTTCTCGTTCGCGCTGCGCTTTCGCCGCGGCGGCGGCAGCGGCCTTCTCAGCTTTCGCGCTCTTAGCACCTACCAGGCGAAGGGCAAGCTCACGCTCCTCTTCATCCTGGTGGGCATATTTATCCGCCCCTTTTTTGCCTTTGCCCTTCTTTCCCTTTGCTGGCGCTGGCGCTGCTTTCTTCGCACTTGCCGATTTCACGACTGCGGGTACTCCATTCGCTGTTTGTTTAGAAGCCCGGTTGGCTTCTTTCGAGTCAGCGGTGGGCTCGAGTGATCCTTCTTTGCTCAACTGACTTGGTTCACTTGTGTCTTGAGATGTTGCCGCTTTCTCGTCCGGAGACTCCGCCTCCTCCGCTGCAGTTGTTCGGCCTTCCGCTGCCCTCTCTTCCTGGGTAGTTTGTGCTGCCTCGCCCTGGCCTTCAGATCTGTCCTCCTCTTCATCACCCTTGGGCTCCGTTGATGTAGCCACTTGCTCTGGAATAGGCTCAGATACACCCCGCTGTAATGGGTTCCTCGGCGGAATGGAGTCCGGGTTCACTTCTTCATCATCTGACTCCGAGCTAGACTCATTGTCTTGCTCACTTGAACCGTTCGCAGCAGGCTCATCTGTTTCTGCTGGCCCCAATTCTTGCGCCACAGATTGCTCATTTTCCACAATCTCCTTCGTAGTTCCGCCTTCCTTCGCCGATGGCTCTGTTGGAGTCGCTTCCTCGAATATGTGAATTTTGTGATTCTTCAAACTCTCCTTGCTGATTTGGAACATGACTGCAAACCCAAGAACTAACTGCGACGGGGCGAGAAAGTTCTTTTCACCTTTGACCTCGAATTCTCCTGTCGGTAGAAGACCGCCTGTGGTGGTTTTAGTCACCTGGTTCGCATTGACCCACCATGCTGCCATGACTGCTTTGGATTCCCAAGCACTCGATGTCGCAACGCAGAGGTTGCCTGCTTGTGAGAGTGTACTCGGTGGTATAGGTGCATCCGGTGTCCCTGGTCTGTTTTTCACGATCATCGGTCGGGCGCCTTCCAAGTCTGCATGCACAAAAATATCGCCTTTCTTGAGATGGCGACGGTATAGTAACTCGCTCTGCATAGCGTCACGGCCACTGCCAAAGTTAGATCATAAATAACACGACAGAGACAGAAATAGCACATACCCCAGAACCAAGTAGCCCTCGGACGAGATGAAGAACAGGAACTTTTCGAACCAGAAAGGTTTCCTGGCTGGACGGAGGACCTGTTTCTCTTGCTTGAGGCTCCGTTTGAGATCTTCGGTCACTTTCTTCTCATGGCTCTTGAGCGCCTTGGTCGACGACTGTGCCGTCTTCTGCTCTTTCACCGCGGCCATCTTCTTCTGTTCGTAGTATTGAGTGGCATTAGCCCACGGGGAAAGTCCGAGATCAATGTCGATAGTCAGCATTTCAGGGGCTTTCCGAGCTGCTTCCTGCTCTTCGCTTTCAGACTCCTCCTCAGATTCATCCGAGAAGAGATCATCGGCTGCATCCTGCTCCTCGCTGGCTTCCCCAAGGACCAAAGTGATGGTGTTCTCGTAGAGTTTTAATGGCAATTTGATGATCCGGGCAACAGGATTGCCTCGGCCCTGCTCCATCTCGATCAGACGGGCGATCTCTACCCAATCCATGCCTTGAGCAATCAGCCCATTAACAGCATCCATTACCTCCTGCACCCGGTAGACGTTGTCCTCGATCGCAGCCGCTTTACGAACATGTATTTCCTGTGCCTCTTTTAGGGCACCGAGCCGCTTCTCATGCTCCTGCCTGACCGCATCAAGTTTCCTCTTCGCCGCCTCCTCGCGTTCTGTGAGTCGCGATTCCAGCTTCTGAGTCTCCAGCGAGGAGAAGTACTCGTCAACCGTAGCGTTGAAAGTGCTGAATTCGAGAATTGTAACCTCCGGCTTCCCTTCAAACTGGCGAGGTCTAAAAGGATGGAAGTCTTCGTACAAAAGCCCTGCCTTCTGTGACGGATCCCCAGTATCAGCAGTAGACTCCGCAGTTGGACGTTTATCTTCTTTCGCGATGATATAACCTGGATGATCTTCCTTCGCCGAGAGTTTGATCGTCACACTCTGGGCCTCCTTCAGCACACCATTGACCTGCTCCATGAGGGCATCATCCCCCAAAACCTTCTCCAGCGGCGTTGCGGGATCGACCTCCTTGACCGCGAAAGCATGATCGAGTAACAGAGGAGGGTACTCCGGGAATCCTTGCGACAAAGCCTTCCGCAGGACATCGACATTTTTCTTCTTCGATTTCTTCGGCGCTGTTCCTTCCTGCGCGGAAGCCTCTTTCGCTTTCTCCAGCGTCTCCTTAATCCGGTCCAGCGTGATCTCAGGCACACCATGGTAATTCTGCTTGTTTGTGACCGTGTACTTGAATCCAACTCTCATCTCCTCCTCGCCCACTCCAGCAGGAACCTGACGGAAGAGCGTGAGAATGTTGTAGTCGCGATCAGTGATGATGATGTTGCCGCCGGCGAAGAACTCGAGGAACATGTGGTACATGCCATCGCTGAAGGAGAAGTCGATGACGCGGTCGGTGCCGATCTGCTCGATTGATGTGAGTCTCCGCGATTTGAGGAACTTGCGCATGCGAGTCACGAATGGGGAGGGGGCGGTTGCCGTTGCGCGCGAGTATTGGGTGACATGGCAGCGGAAACCTGAGTCAACGACGAGTTGCTTGCGGTGGTCGGGTTTGGCGAGCTTGAATAAAAATATTCTCTAGCGAGGGGATCAGTATAGTCCGATCATCTAAATTATCTGTTCAAATCGACCTGACATACCGAGGAAAGGTCGTAAATGTTCGAAACTCGAAGGTTGACCAGCTCCGAGGCGAGTTCCTGGCAAATGACCTGTCATCGTGTGAGATTCTGCGCATTCAACATGGAGGTTTGAGCTGCGACAGACGTACCTTGACGTCTAGGGACGAGAATCGTTGCTTCATTTTCCTAGGCTGTTGACCAGGGGCTCCTGGTAGACTTGATAGCTGGGGAAGATGTTTTAATTTGGAACTTCCTGCGAAAATGTTTGGAAAGACGTGACGTATGCGGGGCACAGTAAACCGATCGCTTTCGCAGCTTGCCCAGTATGACCGATTTTCGTCTGCCATAATTGGGAGACTTCATTTCAAATCCTCCTTTGGCATACTGATGAGTTTTCTATGAATGTAAAGACTCAAGGCACTTAGTACTGACGGTGTGAGGCGTCTGATAATCGCCCGGTGTGTACCCTTCTAATCGTCAAAAATCGAGAGAATTGAAGTCCAGGCCACTTTCTCCGCCATGTAACAAAATGGAGTATCTCTACCGGATCCTCAGATCTGCGTAAGTCGCTAGCCCGAGGCAAGAATAGAAGAGAGTAAGAAACAAGTCATAATGCAACAAGTGCACGCACAAAACCACGCCAGGACCAGCCAGAAAGCAAAGAATCAAGGAAGAAACAAGTGCACGCCCATCATATGATAACAACCAGACAAAACGAAGCAATTACATCTGCCGTAATCCCTCCGCCAAACGCCTCTTTCCCAGTTCCCAAGCATTGAGTAGACCTTGCTCCGACAGATCGATGCTCTTCAGGTTAGGTGCATCCGGTGCTGGGGCACGGCTGACACGCGAAGCAACCATGACAGGGTCCGT